GCTTCCTGGTTTCAATTCCAGTTCTTGGTGATTCAGATTCTTTTAAGAGGAAGGATCATAAAAGTCTACATGTTTTAAAAGAGCTGGCTAACACGAGCTCTTTATGGATGAAATAATTTCAACCTTCGAGTTTATTTTCAATTTCTTTCAAACATTACTATAAATTGACATATTGTGATTTCCAGCTAGTACATAAATATTAAACCCATGAACAGTACACGATTTTTTGTAAACATTAAAACACTTCGACCCATATTCCTGCCTCGTTAGACAGTTGCATTATCCAATTTCCCCGATTCTGACAGCAGTGTGGTTCTAAGCTTAGTTGATGAACATCTCTGCAGACAGGGCACTAAATCTGAACTAAAAATTAAACATTTTACTGATTCTAGGAGAAATTAAAGGTGAGGGAACCTATGCTAATCGCCCTAATTGGGACAGGCTGCTGTACGTATGTGAACAGAGCAGATAAAGCAGGAATATCCCTTCTTACGTGGATATTCTCCAACAGCTCCTTTTCTACTCAGATGGGAGAAACGTATGAGGACGACTCAGATGGATAAGTCAAGTAAAATAATAAATACAATAATTTTGATGAAGGAATAGCATAACCATACGCTGAACTGGTTGGCCACCCATGAAGACATTTACAAAATGTTAGTTTTTACAAAAAAGTATTCTCAGATAATGTTTCACTTCAGTTCTGTCCTCTTGGAGCTCCTTTCAGTAGGATTTTTTTTTAGGGCTGCCAGTTTTATTCAATAAACTTTAGCTAGCAATGTCCCTAACTCTGTTTATTTTTAATTTTTCACTTTCATAAAATAGCTGCAAACAGATGCACAACCGTCAGACTTTTAGCTAGTAATATATCATAGGATGTACACCTTGGTGTATCACATCCAGAGGTATCCTCCTTTGGAAAATGTAGAAATTTAGACTATGAAATGCCATTTCCTGCATTTGAGGTGAAATGCAGTTAGCTTTTGTCTTTGTTACAACTCTACTTTCGTCCTGATTATGGGACCTACGTGTGCTCGACTAGTGGTGGAAATTTCATTATTTAATTAAGGACATTTTACGACGTGTACCTCTTGCCAGCCTGGATCAGCCTGCCAACTGTACGGCTGATCCTGAGTCAGACCCTCAGGCCTCCTGAAGAGCCGAATAGGAAGCAGCAAGCAGTAAATAAGTAGGCTATTGTTAAAGTTAGCTGGTGCAAAATGATGAATCATGTACCTCTTAAATAGGGATACATACACAAATCACAGATGATGCATATTTGCAAAAACGAGTAGGTAGACAAACTGATTTTAGTCAAAGTCTTTAAAAAAAAAAAAAAAAACATTTCTCTGCCAGCACCAGTTCTATGGCAGTAAAAATAGCCAACCAAACGGATACGAACAGAGCTCTGCTTCAGTTGCTAGGTAAGCAGCAATGCCGATTGTGATGTAATATTCCTCATGTTTTAGAAACTGCTCCTTTGACAAAGACACATAATGGTTTCTAGAAGTAGTAAAGACCTAAATCAAATTACAGTTAAAAGTGAACTTAACATTTTGATTCAGAGGCTTCAATAACCTGAGCGTCACCACAGTGTGGCTTAGTCTGATAGGTGGTGGTTAATGTGACACAGGAACATATGCTTCTGTTCCTGCTTTTACATCAGACCAAAAACCACATCAATCAAGGTTGGATCCATGAATTTGCAATAACCTGGTTCCCTCAAATGAGTAAAAACATTAAAAACAAGTTTCTAAAACATTCCTGCCCAATCTTTACACTCTTTGTTTGTATGTCTGTCTGGGACCCTCCTGTGCAAGCACATGCCATAACAGGACATTCCAAACAAAACACACCGATACAAACATGCTGTATGGAGTACAGTGGCGCATACTGCTACCACATGGCAGCTAAACATTATAAGAACCATCAAAGGAAATTTAATCCAGCGCCCTTCTTCGTCTTGGTCTGAAGTGGCTTTATTTAAACCTACTTCAAAAAAGGGCTACAACTGTACATACTGTGTTGAGATCTCGCAAATATTTTGACATAAAACAAGCTCACCTGTCCACCATGTTGGGGTCTGCAGACCTGGACAGCAGAAGCTCAACACAATGGACAATTTTGTCTTCACTGGCAGAGGCAGAACAACTGGCCATGAGCACAGTCCAGTGATCTGCAGAGAACAAAAAAAACACTTTAGATGAAAAACTTTATTTGATTGAACAAGCATCCGATAGTTCATTTAATTCATGCCTGCAGCATTATGCCCCTGATCCACCTCAGAGACAATCATCTATACAACTGGTTTTCACAGCTCTAATGAGACCAACATTAAGATGATCAAATAACCAAATGCTTGGGCAACACTGTGTTATTGTACTTCACATTTAACAAAAGCATTTTTACAGTAAAGTTTACAATATTTCAAAAATTCTGACTGTTAAATGAACTCCAGATGAGGCCTAAAAAAGAAAAAAGAAAAAAAATTACCTTTGCCCTGAATGTTAATAGATTAGATGAAAAAAAAAAAAAAAAAAAAAACTTATAATGCATCTTGGTTAATCTACAGTTCAATTCAGTAAGTTTCACAGCCCTTACACAACTTTAACCTCTGATTAGTTCTCTTATCTTTGAGCGATACATCTGCCTTCACTTTCATTTTGTTCCAACTCAGTCAGAGCTGTGGAATCGAGTGGAGGGCAGGGTGCTTCTACAATGTGTACCACAGTTCTGCACGTGAGCTTACATCTGTGTGGAGATTCCTGTGTCTTTCCCGCTGTATATGTTTGGCTCTATATCCGCTTGTGAATGTATTTACATTTTGAGCGTGTTGGTGTAAACTAGTCTGCCTAGCTTGCGTCTACCAAGAACTGGAGTAAATAAATCTGCGACCTGACAACAGGGGCGAGGCTTGGACAGCAGCATGGTGACCATTATCAATCACTGCTACATTCCTGCAGCCAGCCTCGCAGCTTGGACTAACGCCATGAGGACGTCACCAAACGTCAGTCTCTTGTTTGTTTCCTTGACCCGTCTCATGCATCAGCTGCAGAGCCCATGTGAGATATTCTTGGTTGTATGTTTATTACAAAACGATCTAAAAGGGGCTTACATCCACTTTGCTTTAAACTGTTGTGTGCTTGGAAAAATATAAATTGTAATGTTAAAAATCTAAAAAAAACTTGACGGATTTAAAACTTAAATCACAAGACAGAAGTCAATGTCACAAATGATTAACTTATTTTAGAGTCACAGTATGTTTATACAAGATAATACTATTAATGTGACTTTTCTAGAGAATCATTATACATAGTTATTTTATACAGGGTTTCCACAGTCTTGCATAATTTCAAAATTCCCTGACTTTTAACTGACTCGGGATTAGTTTTCCCTGACAAAATAAATGCAACAACAAGACAATAATAATAACAGGTCAACAATTTAGCATGTTTAGCTCTATAACATTTAAATGCACCTCTCCAATGTCTAGAGAAAAAAATGTAATGAACATTTTTTAATGTATGACCTGCATCACTGTACAGAAGACTGCCATATGATAGCGCTTTCTAGCTTGTTTGTCATTTTGGTAACTACATCAAAATTACCGCTAGGTGGACAAAAATTACGCCATCTGGAGGAAAAATCACCCGGTTTTTTCAAATCACGCGAGAATGTGTACAAAACAACAAAAATGGCGGCGGGGATGCTTCTTGGTCGTTTTCATCGAATGT